AACTTCAAAAGCAAGAAATATAAATATTTGTTACTCTTAATTTTGGTTTTATTCACTCTTGAAACAGAACACTTTCAGGGACCCTGCAGAAGTACATCTAGGTTATTTTATATGCTAGCCTAAGTTACAAGGAAGAGCATGTGCACTATCTAGAGCTTATTATTTAACAGTCTTTGTCATTCTTGCTAGCCATACACCCAAATATGTCTTATATTATCTTTTAACTCATTTTCCCAATTCACTAATGAAAAATCTTTTCTCTTGGCCTCAAAATTTGCTCTTGAAAAATTAGGAACTAAAGTTTCTTTTATTTCAGTGATACTAAAACAAACAACTAAATTATGCAACAACTTTAACTCTTGCATTCATATCATCATTAGTGTTTAACAACAGATCTAAAATACCATCATTCCTGGTTGACTCTGTGACCATTTGGTATGAAAATCATCTTGAATGACTTAAAGAAACATCCCTTCCTCACTATTTGACTCCATACAATCACAATCAATGTGCCTAAAATTAATGTATCCTATAATTATTGCATCAATATTCTTATTAGTAACAACCCTGATCTCATTACAAAATTTATCATTCTATCTTTCAAACCCTTGATTGTAACCCATATACATTAGGCTCAACTTCTTCACTACCATTTTTATGTCATCAGTCCCAAAGGCTGCAGTTTGTCCATTATGAGAGGTTATAACTTCATTGTAGAGGTCACTGGTTAGGCCTCATTTGGAGTATTGTGTTCAGTCTTGGACTCCTTACCTTAAGAGGAACCATGAACTTTTGGAAACTAATCAAAGGAGGACAGGTTAAGATCTTTGAAATTGTTTTTTCTTGAAGAGAGAAGAGTTAAACAGGATCTGATTGAGATATTTAAGATTGTTAAGGGAATTATGAAAGTCATTGTATTGTTTGTTTGTTTTTTCTTACTTAATGGTGAGAATGATAGGACAAGGGAACACAAATATAAATTTTAGTAGGTTAGGAGTCATCTTAAATTAAATCAGTTATATTTTTCTCACAGGGTGATTGACTTTTGGAATGAGTTTAGTGGGTGGGTCAGTACTTAAATGGTATATCACAAAGAATCACTCCACCTCTTGTTATAAACATTGTATGTTTTATTGTTTGTTCTTTACATCATTATTTGTAATATGGTAAGCTACAAATATAATAACATGTACTCATAAATCTCACTTTCAACTTATGTAATACATAGCTTTTGTAGTTTGTGCTAATTTTTATGTTTCTTTGATAATACTTTTGATTCTTCTTAAAAATTCTCAAGTTAAATAAACCTCAGTGTTAATATATTTGCCTTTCCTCCAAAGAAGTTGCAACCAATATTATAGGAAGATATTTTTCCTTTAAGTTACCGTCCAAAAACTTTCAAATGATTCTCCTTAAAATTTGCTTACATTGATCTGCATCATTTTGATATACACTTAGTAGAAACCAGTTTGACTCATTTGTATTGATATTTTTTGGTATATTATTAATCACCATTCTATTAATGTTGAGAAATTTTGGATTGAGTTAAATTATTGTGTGTTTACAAGTTGTGAAGGCATTTTAGTTTTATACCTTAAGAGCAAATTATCAAGTTATACCAGTCATTAGTGTTGTGTTGTTGAATTATTCTGGAAACCTAGCTAACAGATAACTGTTCAAAATTTGAGGATATTTTTATCATTTCACCTGCACATGTGTAACATTACACATCAGTAAGTAAAATGAATTTGGAGAGCACCATCTGATAAATGTTCTTAAGATTAAATCCAACTAATATTTTGAAGCTTAAAAGCTTTATTGTTTTTTAAATATCAATTATTATGAAATTTTAATATCTGTAAACAAATTAGACTTCTCATTTTTTAAGTTATTTACATGATTTCAGATTGATTTTACAGTTCAAGTACATTAATTATGCTTCACAATTTTCTTGAATTGTAAAGTTTTTACATAAAGTTATGATTAAATTATGAATAAGGTTATTTTTACAGAAAAAATAAACTATGCTGTAAAATAACAATGAAATTTTAATTTATAGATAGAGTGATCTTAGTGTTTTGCAGATAAACATTGATATTACTGCATCTTTGTATTTATTTCACATCAAATGAAAAATATTTTTCCATGTGCAAATACATCCAATGTTTCACAAAATCTATATAAGGGTGAATCCCAATAACATTATCAGACAGTTTTAATGTAGTTTGAAATTTATAAAATTAGTTAACACTACTAGTAATTTTATTTATTATATTAGTGAGAAACAAATAACATATTTCACATTGTGCCGGGGCTGGTGGTTAAGATGCTCAACTTGCAATCTGTAGGTTGCAGGTTCGTATCCCTTCAGGGAACACACTTGCAGTTTCATCTGTAAGAGGCTTTATAATGTGATAGTTAGTCCCACTTTTCATTGGTAAAGTTTAGCCCAAGAGTTAGCATTGGCTAACTGCCTTTCTTCTAACCTCTAAATCAGGAACAGCCCTTGAGTAGTTTTGGGTAAAATTCAACAAAACTAACAAATGAATTATTCTGCAATGATTCATTTTGATATGAAATACCTTTAAATTTTATATTATTCTATAAATATGTTGTGATTTTTCAGTAAAGTTTTTTCAAAACAAAGCATAAATACAAAAATTAAATGTATATTTTTTAAAGTAGTATTTTTATTAATTATCATTGTCATTTTAACTTCTATTCATATGCATATTCTTACAACTTGAAATAATTTCGTTAATAAACCATAAAAATAATGATTTTAAATAGCCCTTAAAGAGTGTGTTTTGTTCGCATAAGAACATACATTGAAATAATATTTTATATGTTTGCTGTTGTGGTGGATTTAAATAAAGTATTTCATGTAATAATTCAGGGACCAACACTTCGTAGCTGGTACTTGGTCCTTGAGAAAGTCTGTGGAGTCAGTGGAAAGACTGTAGGTCTACAGAAAATGCTGCTGGACCAGGTAAGAACAAATATAAATGTTGCAGGTATTCCACACTATAAAATTTAAAATTCAAAAACAGCGAAAATGGGATCGAAAAAATATATCATTTAAAAACAATGTTTTGCCATTGTTAACAGTAGCAGAACACTGTTTTTAAAAAATACTTTTTTCTATCCAATTTTAATTGTTTTTGAATTTTAAATCAGATAAGAACAAGTTAAAAGGTGCAGGTATATCTTTGGATGCAAACTTTTTTAGTGTTTAAATGTTTCTAATAAATCAAGAAGATATTTTATCCATCTTTTCATCCTCACTTCTAGTATGAGAATATCACTCCTCTTCAGAAATGCTACACTCTGGAAAACTAAATAATGAGAACATGTTGAGGTCTTACTAATAATTACACAAATATTCCAGATACAGGTATTATCTAAAGAGATTATGATATATATTTCCACCTTTACTTCAGATCTCATTTCATATAAATTTACTTTAGTGCATAATATTTGTTAGGGTTAAATAGTGGGCTTTATTTTGTATTTAGATAAGTAAATATTTGGCTAAATGACCCTCCTTGATATGTAGGAGAAGAAAGAAGTGTGGGTCTTCATGTAGGAACAGGTGTTCTGACACAGAACTCCTGTTTAATGAAGATTCAAAGGTTCAGAAAATGTAAGATTACTAAAACACAGATTTTTGAAGAATTACACAGACTTCTGGATAAACAAGAATAAAAAAAAAGGCTTTTGTTTTACACAGTAGCATTTGGTTTCCCCAATTTAATACAATACAGACCTAAAGGCTTTCACAACTTTTTGCCTTATATTTCTGTACAGACAGGGCTTCAAAAATGTCTAAGAAGTTAGTAGGCAGCCAACTTTTTTTCTAACTGAGGCAAATTGTGTATCAAAAGAATTACTACCAATAAGAAAGATGTGATATTCTTTAGGTAGTGATAAAACAAAGTAAGCACATGACAACAATTACTGTTTATTCTAACCTGAAATCATCTGTTATCAAAGATTGCCAGAATTATCAGGAATCACTGCAACATTTTCTCAAACTCTTGTTTGATCTGTTAAAAAAGTGATTAGCACTTTAATTTATTATTTTTCTAGATTATTTTCACTGTTCTTTATGTATTGTTGCTTAAAATCAGTTGATATTTCTTCCATGCACGTGTAGTTTCCAAGCTGCTCAACGATGAAGTTTTTCTATATAATATGAATACTTAAGCATAATTTACACGGAATACATAAAAATAACAGTATGAAATACATCTTTTATCTTGTTTCTTTGACGAGGAACCCACTTTGAGACTAATAATGGCTGGAGACAGCTTGAATGAGTAATGAAGAAAAACTTTAATATAAGTTTAACATAACAACATAACATATCTTGATTCTTTATAAATTGACATTGCTTTCACAGGGCTTGTTTGTTCCTGTGTTTTTGGCAAACTTCCTCACAGTGAATGGTCTACTACAGAACCATTCGTGGATTCAAATTAAAGAGAAGCTGAAAAGAGTAAGATTTTTTTGTTGTTGTATTTTGTTTAAGAATAAGAACTTTTTTGATAGTGACTAATAAACTGGTGTTGTATAGAAAAGAAATGTCATCCTGGTTAATACTATTGCTTTTGTTAATCCATAAAACATCAACTTCCATCTTGCTACTAGAGACCCTTCATTTAAAAAATATCACTCTATTACTATCCCACCATCTGTTTAGAAGAAAAATTGCCATCTTGCTAGCAACTGTTCTTGTTTAACTCTTGTGTACAGGCTCATTAATTTTAACCAAATTTATAACCGTGAAATAGCAAATTTCAGAGAGAATTACTGACATTTTTTGAAAGATAGAATATGGTATGAGGAACATTTCATGTGGGTTCGACTACCTCGTTTATATCTCAGTAAAGCAAAAGGCTTGGAGACTATAAGTTTATATTATGACTTAGCAATATTTATAGTATAAGTGTGTAAACTCAGAAGATCATATAGGGTATAAAGAAAATTAAAATGGAGCAAATAAATGTAACATGATACAGAGAATTGAAGATTGTGAATTTATTTAAATGTCCTTCTGAAATTAGAACTTGCATAGTGTTAAAATTTGAATTATAAACTGTTTTGATGGCAAATTTACTGACATACATGGATAATAATACAAGTTTTTAAATTAATTTCTGAATGTAACTCTGTAAAAAGTTTATGCCATGCACACTTTGACCCTCCCATGCTTGGAGGGTTAAAGAGTAAATAGAATTCATTTTGCTGAAAAAAAGTGAGTCCCAGCATACTGCTATTAGTTAATATATATATATATTTACTGGTAGTACCCTAATGCAGTGGATCTAAACCTTTTTTGAAGTGAAGACTAACTCATTCCAGTTTTAAACTTTCATGAACAGTATTAGCTATACTTTAGTAGCTATATTTTAAAATGCACCATTTTATTTTTCAATCAACTTGCAGACCAGCTGAAATCGTGTGGAACCACTGCTTTAATATTTTCAGCTGCCATTAAGTTGTACAAAACAAAAAAATAAATACTGATCCAGTATGAACAGAATAAAAGAGAGTAACAATGAGAGTACTTTGAAGGTAATGAACTGGGGGACTAAATAAATTTAGATGAGACTTGGCAAGAGAGAATTGTTACAACAAAGACATTAAAAACTCTTTGAGAATACATTTGTAAAATCAACATACTAGAGAAAGCACCGTTTTCATGGTGTAGAAAATTTGCAATACCTAGTACTTAGATAATTTTAAGACATTACCTTATTAGTTCAGTAAGCCTGCCATTAATATTTTATTATGGAGAAATTTAATGGCTGATTGTAACCAAACTTAACCATGAATTTTTCAAATTTATATATTAAACAGTGTTAGTAAATTATATTTAAGCTGTCTTACATTATGATAGTGCCTTTACTTAATTATTTCAATAATAATTTCAAGCTTTATTTTGAAGCATCATACTAGGTTACTTTTGATAAAGACTTAAAAGTGACTTCCAAATTGCAAGTAATTATTGTAACTTGCCAAATTTTATTTAAAATCTGATACTGATAGATTTAATTAGTTTCTTTCATCTTGTCTTGACACCTGCCTTTGATCAATCCATTTAAAATCTTTATTGAACTAGTCTGGCTATTAAATGAAGTTTAGTAAAAATGTCTCAAGTTGATGGACATGGATGCTTTTTAGAAAGTCATATAACTCTCAAGTTCCCACACCATTTACTCTGGAAATGTGAAAAGTATAATGTATTTCAGGAACTGCCAGCTTCATTACAAATATGAATTTAGTGTCAGTTTTCTTGTTTCTTACAGGATTACTTTGAAGTGCTAAAGGCTAACTATATGGTAAGTCTACTTCGCTTTATTAGCCGAAGGGGCTTGGAAATAAAACAAGTTACAAAGCCTTTTGTTATTTGAAAAATCCCATAGATGTAACCAAGTTTAGTGAATTCCATTTAGGCAATTACTCAGTGGATCTCTGAAGGGTATTAACATGACAAGGGTACTTCAACATTAATCGAGACATCCTGTAAGGTAATTCTACCTTATTCCACTTAACTCTTTCAGCACAGACTTGGTTCCTGGGACCGACCTCGCAACCATTTTGTGCTTGTTAAAGTATTCATGTTATAACTTTTAAATTAGTAAGCGAATGTTAACGAAATTTGGCAGATTATCAGTA